TAATAAATATTTAGATGTTGCAAAACAATGTTTTAATCATAGTTCGGATCTTTATTGATTAGAATAAAATTAATTATAATAAAAAAAAATTATTAGTGTAATTAGAAAAGAAAAAATAAGCATATAATATGGGTAGTTATCACTATAAGATCTATTAAAATGTGAACTTAAAAAAATAGAACGAATAGATTGATAATTTGAAATTCTAAAAGAACGATTGCGAGTACAGATTATTCAATTAAAAATAACCTTAAAGTCATGAACGTGGCTATTATATGCCAGTTTAATCTTTTTTGTTATCATAGTCTGTATGTCTTATTCCGTCTGATTTTTATGGTAAATATATTTATCTTTGCAAAATAAAAGAATAGAAAATTATCTTATTTAGTAATACATACAGTAAGAATAATAAGAAGAGAATAAAATTTTGTTCATATTTTATTACCTTTAGATCATCTGGATGACGGATGGATACAACGGGTATAAAGAATAACCAATTTTTGCAAATGGGATAGTACTTATTAGAAAGAGTGATTAAACGCTTCCATAGTACTTCTAAAAAATATATGTATACGCACACAACATTTTTGTTCATATATTATATAAATTTATAAACATTGTAATAAAAATTGATAAAATAATTTAAATACACAGAAATATGATATGTTTAATATACTCTATTATTTCTCAATAAAGTTTAGTAACCGAGAAATGAATACTATTATGTAGAAAATAATTAACAACATTAAATAATTCTTAAAATTAACAAGCAAATGTTTTTTAACATTGATGGAAATACTTAATGTTTTTTAAAGTGAATGTGTACAAATATTATATTTGCATGTATGTGTACATATAAACATTAATTTAGTCAGGAATTATACATTAATTTACTGGGAGTATATTGAATGCCAATTTAAATATTATTTTAATTATTATAGTCGTTCCTGGATAAATCGAGTAACACAATTATGATTTCCAATGTTCATCGAAAATTAAAAACGGACTAATAATTTAATTGAATGATATACCATCAAACTTTAAATCACAAATATTTAAAACATTTTAATTTTTAAAATAAAATTTTAATTAAATATATAAAACATTTTTTAACTTACCTCGCGAACCAAATATTATGTATACACTTCCAATAATTGGATAACATAGTGGTCCTGGTACTAGATTAATGAGTCGTCCGGTTTTTCCATAATGCACATAATAATTACATACGAATAACATAAAGACACAGATTGATAGCAATACAACAAACATTACTGATCAACTAATCAAATTGATTAATATTATAAGATTTTTCTAATTTAATGTGTCTCAATAAAAAAATTCTAATTTTTTTATTGTCCTGACATTTTTAATTGCTCAAGAATTGTTCACTTTTTTTTTTTTCAGAGATAGTTAAAAATGATGCACTTGGACTGTAATGAAAACACGTCCGCTCCGAGCCGCTTCTCGAGAATAATATGAGTCTGGCTTACTTATTTTTTCTTTTTATATGGTGGTAAAGAATGCTTATTTTGCAAGATAAATATGTACGCTTGTTTATTTTTAAAGTTAGATTAAAAAAACGCAAAGTTGCGCAAATTTAGAAGGTGAGTAGTAAATCAAGGCGGGTTCTAACCCAATGTCTAGACGGGTTCGCGGGGTGCGGGGGGTTTTCGTTGGCGCGGCGGATGTTCGTAATGCAGTTTAGGAGGGGGAAGGTCGCGGCGCTATTGATGTAAGGACCTCAGTCCTTATTTATTGCCGCCTCTCTGTCTCCAAAAATAAAGATGCAAATTCTTACTATCATCACCTACTATCATCTGTTTTTTTCTTTCTTCATCTTTTCGCCGCCGCCGCATTGTCACTCTCGTTATATTTTCATGCTGTCTTCATCTTTTTCGCCGCCGCCGCATTGTCACTCTCGTTATATTTTCATGCATGCAAACATATTTTATTATACTTATTTTATTATATTATATTTTAAAAAGAGAATATGTGACAGTATCGTCGATTGCGAAGGATGGGAAGTAAAAGAAAATACGTACGTAATAATGCGAACAAAAAAATGTTTATTCACATCTTATTACACTGGTTTTCATATTTATTAAAAACTAAATCTAATAGTTCGCAATCGACGAGCTGATGTCCATTGAAGATGTCGCTATCACGTATAATGTTCTCAGATGCGATGTTGGAGAATCGCGTATACTTGGTATCCACCATATCGACGAGTCGAGCTAATCGTTCGAACGATTACATCGATACACCCGTTAAAGTCAAACATACGGCGTAGCGTCGTTTCGGTCATCGTAATGCGTACAAATGAAGAATCGAGACGTACGAGCGTAGCTTCGTTCAGCACGCAAACACTGACGGTTAGCGGTCCAACGCTTATAAAATTATCTTTGTATTCATTTCGAAATAGCTTGTAAATATTTCCTCGCTGTTCGTAGAGACTCTTCCACGTTTCGAGAGACAGCGATAGTTCGTGTCTGCGATGATCTCCACGTAACTCAATGGGCGTTGATTCCAATTTCCAAAAATTTGTAGCCCGTATTCGTCAGATCCTAACGTCTGCTCAGTAAACGCACCGCACGATGCTCCGTACATACATAATGTTAAAAAACGTTATTTTTTTGTCTATAGAACGTTGAAACTTACATGTTATATTCCTTCTTCACATCGTACGATGTACTACTGTCTTTAGTGAAGTACATTTTTTCAGCCATTCATACAAGCGGGTATCACAAGACTGATTGCATCCGCGTAAATTGTCGCGTAATACTTCTGGAAGCGAGAGAAGGCAGATCCTCCCCCTCTTTTCAAGAATTTCGAACACGTTGCGACACGTTTATACATACGTACATACGTTTATACATACGTATATACGTTTATACATACGTTTATACATACGTTTATATATACGTTTATACATACGTACATACGTTTATACATACGTACATACACACGTACATACATACGTACATACATACGTACATACGTTTATACATTACAAAGGAAGGGAAAAGAAATACATAATAAATACGTTAACGTATTTTTATTTAAAAAATTCTTTTGCAACCACCAGTTATATATTTTCAATACATTTTGTAACGCGCAATTCTTAACATGTTGCCCACATCGTATAATATTAGTAACATCTAGATTAGATAAAGATTCCATATCTTCGTAAACTGCGTCCAAGGTCTCGATGTACGTGCGTTCTCGCTCCAGAAGCAAGTTCTGCAGCCACGTTCGTTTCTCGCGTCCCTTGACATATACGACAGCATCATCTTCAAATACAGCCATCGTAATTAGACGTTTCGCCTCGTTGTACGGGATCGTCCCGTCCTCCCATTGTAATCCATGGTGATAAGCAATCAACCAGGAAGCGCAAGACCTGTCGGATCTTGTCAAAAATTTCCATGGCACGGGACTCGTAAAAATGTAGTGCGTGAGAACGGTCCCCTGTTTCAGCACCGCCACTTCCTTTACGATAAATTTCTTCTTAACAATGAATCCTTGCAGATCCACGAACGTTGGCATGGACATGTGTCGAAAAGACTGCGACGTCGATTGCTACGTAACGTAGATTTTATATCGTGTCAGAGGTGCATTTAGGTGATTTTGCGCACTACGTTGGTCAATGGATTATACTGAGCTACACGATCGTGTATGATGAGACAATAAGCTGTTGTATTTTCGGGCACATTCTCCTTGC